GTGAGCACTGTCGCCATCAATATATGTAAAAATAAAAGATAAATCCAAAACCTCCCTCAGAACACTCGTCTAACATGAAATGTTTTATACAACCGAGGGCTAAATATACATTGCCAGATCAGCTTAACAACATTCATATTAAAATTACAACCGAATATCGAACGACTTCCATGACATTCTATTTAGAATATAGAGTAAACAAGACACCGGCAATAGTGTCTAGAAATTAGTTTTCTATGGGAGAGCTACCAACCCTCCGCACAATCACAGAACCTGTTGGGCCCGGACATTCTGTCTGGGTTTACTCCTTTAGGTGGGTTGGCTTTACAATGCTTAAAGAGCTCTCCCTGCCCTATCGTATTGGAACATACTTCGTCTGACTCTTTTGCCTGTCCGGCTAGGGTTACTCTGTCAGGAGCCTGTGCTCCCGCCGGCATAACCCCAGCTTCCTTGGAACACGCAATCCCCCGTCCACGTAAACGTCAATTACTTTATTTATGTATCTAGGCTATAACACAACATTCCTGGAAGAAACAGACATAGATAATTCAATTCAAAAATTCCAAAACATCTGTGGCACTATCGGGCGAACACTTAAAGGGAAAATTCGGAAATATACGCTAATAACGTTTTATCAAGTGATGACTGTTCCTGCACTACTTTATGGAAGTGAATGTTGGACAATGAGGAAAAGAGACACAAAAATTACAAACGGAGGAAATGCGATTTTTAATATCTATGAAGGGATGTACAAGATTGGACAAACTCAGGAATGAAGATATTAGAATAGAATTAGGAGTATCTTCAACTACTGACAAATAAAAAGACATAAACAAGATTGGTTAGAACATGTAGAAAGGACGAAAACCGAAATAGGCCCTTTGGTGTCGACCGAAAGGAAGCAGGGTTCCTAGAAAATCACGCCAAAGGTGGATATCATAGAAGCCGGAACAGGCCTTCGGCCTAATCTGTGAATTGAAGAAGAAGAAAAAGAAGAAGAAAAAATTGTTTTAAATAACAAATTCTGAGGTGTATATGGGTGATACTAGCACTTCTGAATAATCTATGCTAGCCTTGAAAACCATGGACTGTTAATTACTTACGTCGTCTGCTGTAAATCGAATATTCAAGGAAGGAAGAGTAACAAATAATTTGTTAGTGAATATGTCATCGACGTTGGTTAGGACAAATTGGTCGCAAATTCGGTGCTGTCAGAGAATCATTAAATGTGATAATAGGTCTGTAAAGTTGAACTTGGAAGAAATGTTTGGGGGCACCCCAATAATTATAATTATTGCAACCCCTTATTTACACGGCATAATACGTCGTACGACATAAATGAAATTACGTATTTAAAGTACATCTTGAAATGTGTTATTTCAAAAACATTGGCACCTTGAAGTGGAAGTTATTGGAACTGAAGCCATAAAAATTTTGAATTTCTTAGTATTTGTTTATTCCCCACATAAAGGTGCTGTTAATGTATCCGGAATAATGTAAATTTGGAACTTCGATGCACTCTGCCAAAAACGATTTCCTGCTTGTAACCATGAACCATATAATACACAAGTTCAGGAAGCTAATTCACACATACTGTACTTTTGTATTATACTCATCATAGCTAATTGTGGTAATTCTTCAGTACAACATGCTGTACTTAATGGTGTTCTCTTCTCCTTACAGATTTAGTCATGAAAACCGGTTTTCAGAGGGCTCAAAAGAACGGAACAGTTCAAAAACGTTCAAACAGTATGCTCTGTCACACTACATGAAGCTTGTCAGAAGCTATGAAAAAGTGTTGGAAAAGAAATTTCCAACTGCAATGCATGTATACAGGATTTTTATGGTTGGAATTAAAGATTTTTATACAGATATGAAGTATTACTTTAAAATCCACAGAAGATTATCATCTCCAGCAGGATTTAAGTGCCTTACAAGAAAGGAGATTGAGTTGTACCACCAGATACCAAAAGATATGTTGAGGGTGGCACCTATGTTAATACTGTCTACTTTACCATTTGCAAATTACGTTGTGTTTCCATTAGTGTGAGTATTCACTCAAGCATCACACATGTTCATTAATGATCCATTTTGTGAACATTTAATTTGAATCTTAGTAAAAAAAGGTTTTTCATGAATCAACAGGTATATGTTCCCAAGACAGCTTCTGTGTCAACATTTCTGGTCTTTGCAACAGCGAACAGAGTTTGCTATGGAAGGACTACGCAGGCAATTATATAACTATAAACCAGTGTTCCGATGTCTTCAATCACAGCTTGATACACTTAAAGGAAGACAAGAATATGAACACTGGGCATATGTTCTTGGACTGTTGGGGAGTGGCATGCATCCAAAGCCTGAAGATATTATTAAGTCTGTAGACCTGTTTCGTGGGGACCCATATCACTTCTCCTATCTGTATCCTGGGCATGTGGTAAAGCATAGCATCTTTCTTATTAATACAGATAAGATATATCAAGAGTATGATGAAATGAAAAATATTACTTTAAATGCATGGTTAGGTTGCTAAATCTTCTATTACAATGTACAAGGGTGTTTGGGATAGAGAAGGCTTTGAAAATTCTCTGCCATCAGCACAGTAGCCTAATCTGGACACAGATCCAGGCCATTTCATTCAATTAACATCCTTACTTCATTTCCAAGAGAGTACTTTCTAAAAGGCTTCATCCTCTCCCCTCATGTTCTATTTAGAACTGGTTTCATATTTGGAAGGTCCTGTACTTGAATTTTGGACCAGGGCTGGCTATCCTAACAATTTATTTTAAATCCCTCAAGGTAAATGCTGTGATGAGTGGTAGCTACAGAAAAATTTAAATTATGGGGATAAATTGAATCTGCACCGTGGTCAGCAATCTTTCATTCTATACTGGATAATGTACTTTCTCAAGTGTGACTAAATTTAAGTAATTTGACAATTTATTACTATTCATTAAATAAATTCTATACATGGTCCAACAGCCATTTAACACATTTTAGACAAAGCACGTAAATTACAGGCAGGGCTGTAGTGAAGCCAGGGGATTTCCTGGTGTTTTCCAATGTTTGTACCTCTCAGAATTGCCTAAAGACAAGGGGGCCACTTTATAAAATAGAAGATATGAAGTATGTCCCTCTAGAAAATTTGAAATATATATAGTATAGAGTTAGGCAGAACTGAATGTATTGTGATTTCTTTAATTTTTTATCTCTGTTTGAGACAGAAGCGTCAATTTCTTTACCTGTGTTCATTTCATGAGCCCGCTTACCATTCTGCCCTCCATTTATTACTGTAAAGTTACAATCAAGTAAAAATAAAAATTGCCTCATGTAAGTATGTATGCTCATCTTATTCAGTCTGAAAGTGTGAGAACATACTAGCATTTTTATTTTTAACATTATACCACTTCTTTCATTAATAACTAGTAACTTATTTAATGATTTGTAATTAATTCTTATTAAATTTAGTGGTGCTTGACATAGTTACAGTGTCATTGTATGAAGAGTAAAAACAGTCTAGTTTTATGAAATTGGTACATCGACGACACCATATCTGAATATCAGAAACCATTCTACAATATATGCTGTCATAGCCATCCCTAAGACATTAAAATTAGTTCATTATTTCCATCAGTAAACTTCTATATTAGACAAGGACTGCTGTTTTTATTGGGGATCGTCAGTGTGGGTTCAGGCATAACAGATCAACAATTAATCAGATCTTCTGCATCCATCAGATACTAGATAAAAAATGGGAGCACAGTGGGACCGTGCATCAATTGTTTATGGATTTCAGAAAAGCCTATGACTCTGTTAAGAGAGGTGTCATACAATATTCTCATTGAATTTGATATAATCAAAATGTGCTTAAATGAAACCTGTAGCAAAATTTGAGTAGGTAAATATGTATCTGAGACATTCTTCATCAAGAACAGTCTAAAACAAGGAGATGCTTTGTCTCCCTTGCTCTTTAATTTTGCACTAGAATATGCCATCAGGAAAGTACAAGATAGGCAGGACAGTTTCCAATTGAATGCGACACATCAGCTATTGGAATATGCTGATGATGTTAATTTATCGAGTGACAATATAAGTACAATAAAAAAGAACACACGTTTTACTAGAAGCTAGTAGAAATGTGGGGCTAGAAGTAAATTCAGAAAAAAACTAAGTACATGTTAGTATCTCGTCATCAGCAGACAGGCGGGCAAAATCATGTTAGGGTGGCTAATAAATCCTTTGAAAGTGTGACAAAGTTAAAATATTTGGGGACCGCATTCTGTTACTGAGTTTGTTCCTTGGATTAATGTAAGACTTACTGATTTTGGGGATCAAATAAGACAATCTCCCCTCATGCTATGCCATGTTTAACTTGTTGCACAAGAGAAGTAATTACAGTAATGCCTGGATGATGGTGGGTATCACAGCTGCAGTACAGACAATTATAAAATGTTTTAGACTATGGTTTCAAAGAAAAAAATAGTTTTATTAAAATGTGAGGACTAATGGGGAACATCCCCACCATCCTCAAGGTACCAGCTGCCACTGGCTGGGATATTATCTTAAAATAGGCTACACCACTTCCTTCTGCATCCTTTTCAATTCATCATTTCATCATACTGCCTCAACTGAATGCCATATAACCTCTGCAGTTGAAAAAGCACCATTAAATGAAGACAAGTCCCTCCCAAAAATTCTCTAGGCATGTTTTCCAAATTCAATGTACAAGTCTGTTAAAAAGGGAGTTAAGTAAGTAATTGTGATGTAGGTGGCCTGGTAGGCAAGTGATGTGTGCATGTGTAACCCCCCTATTTCTTAGTGGAGGACATTAGTCTTTAGTACAAAGATACTTCTCATGCCTTTGTTGTTTTCTGCTGTCCATAATATCATTTACTGGTTTCTTTTGTCATTGCTGACTGTTTTATAATTGCCAGAATTATGAAGTATGACCAGTAAAGTTTGCATCAAATTAGAACAGGCATGGCATTTTTTTATCTCTTCGTAGTGCAGGCCACGACTTCCCAGGCCGCATATGTCACAGTAACTTACTTACCTATTGATTACAGTAAGCTGCATAAATGATGATATTCATTACACATTACTTCATCTTTCCCAGAAATAAAACTAAACCTTTACTCATTAAAATACTGTTTCCCAAGTTAACATATCATGACCATTAACACAGTGAGTGACAGTCTTGTATATGTGGGACATCTGGAAACCATCCTTTGTGGAAGACTAGCTGATTTTTGTTTTGTTACAAATTCTGGTCAGAACAGATTAATATAAATAACTGTGAAACATCAGAACAATACTGTCAATGTTGTAGATAAAGTTTCTGGGTTTGTTTTGTAGAAAGGACTACTACGGATGTATAGCATGCACACAGGGTTTTGGCGACGTCACAGATTGGCTGAACAAGCAGTGATTCTTCATGAGATGGACATGGCTATTATCAGAGAGGGGGGTATATCGAAGATGTCTCAAGAGGAGCTACGAGTGGTAATTATAATAATAATAACTCAAAGTCAATCAAAAAATATTTGGCCAACATCCCGGGCAAACACGACATCAGGGAACTTCAGAAAACTGCCATTTTAGGATCTTCATACATCATTCGAAAGACGCTTTCGTAAAATACATAGTCACCCCTCACAAGAAAACGATATAATACATGTAACACGTATCAAAAACAAAATGTTTTTTGGAAATAGCTGCTGCACTATCTACCTCAGGAGCAAGGTTTCTCTCTGGTACATATTAGTAAATAACATGTAAAATGGTGAAGAAATGTAATAATAATAATAATATAAACATCAGCGAATTAGTAAACTTAATGGTGTAGTGTTAATAGTTCTGCTTTGTATTGACGTTCTTGGTTCAGATCCTGAGCATGTAAATCAGTTTCACGAGGTTTTCAGTCGCTTTCTTCGGCCTGTGAGAAAATCATTACCTTGAAATAGGACGGTGCTTCTTTTCCCCATATTCAGCCATTACACCTCATTTATTTCTATATAATGTCTGCATCTGATACAGTAATCTAAATAACCTAATCAAACAGTGAATTAACCCTTTGCTGGGAATGTATATTTTAAGTTTTAGTTATTTATATTCACTATATATTAAGCCTTAGAATTAAGAAGTTACATTTTATTCTGAAAAATCTCTTTCTTAGACTTGAGAGACCTATAATGAGCTACAGTTCATCCTATACAGTAGGAAAAGACCTGTCGTGTTCTTTTTCATGGCCAGTTGGACCGCATGAAAGCTATGAATCACGCCCAATAATGTAAAGATGTGTTTTAATATAATCTTTCAGCTATGCCTAGGTCTCTCAAATAGTATCTTCTTTTGTGATTCATCTGTTTGATGATTTCACACATTTATTTATTCTTAATTGCTATTTTCCAGGCATGTTTTCTTCGTGGCTTGAATCCTGTTACAATGAAGGCAGAAGATATGATACACTGGCTGACACAGTGGATCTGCGTGTCGAAATCTGTTGACAGAAGCTCCCTCTCACTCTTGCTTCACTGCCCAATTCTACTTGGATACAACCAACCCTCCAACTGGATCCTCATTCATTAAATCAAACCTTTTGCAAATAAGTCCTAGAGAAAAACAGATCTGCTAGAATTAAATATTTGAAAAAAGATTATGTTTATTCTGTATAAATGAACGATATATTTATTTTATGTGTCAAGTAGTGTAACAGTACCATTTTCACTAAAATATGAGACTTTTGAATTGAAGTCAAAATAAAATCACTAATAATAAGAGACTTTTGAATTGAAGTCAAAATAAAATTGGTGCTAATAAATGTATTTATTTTCATGTCAATCAATAGCAACATAATTTGTAATCCTGATGTTTAGCAGAATACAGACTTTCTTGTTGCACTGTGTAAACAAACATATTATTTTAAAGTATTTCCTTTGTGAACAGAGTCCTTCATCGCATGAGAGACTCATCCACAGACACTATTCTTAGATTCATTCTGATATCCTTCCAGATTTTCCCAAATGGTTTCTTCACTTGAGGTTTCCCAACCAAAATATTTGAGCACATACTGTCGTTGCTTTAAATGCATGACCAGGTTGCCATATATTTTATTACAATGTACAAGGTTATTTGGGATAAAGCATTCTGAACATGGTCAACGTCATGATACCATCCTAGAAATTATGTTGGAGAGGCCAAGGTAAACATAAGTGCACAAAACAATCAATGTTGCAAATCTCCAGAAAAACATACTAATTTTTACTACCTTAGAAAATTTCATTACTGTCTTTGTTTCAGATGTAGTTAGAACTAATCACTGCACACGACAAACATTACATGTATCAGGGGATTATAAAAACCATGACAAATTAACAAAATCCATGAGTAGGAACAGAAGCACGCAGATTTAATGCGCCATGCAAGTAATTAAATGCTTAATTTGTTTTTTTAAAATAAAAAAATTATAATTTTATGCATTAAGAATTTATTTCCAAGATATAACACAGCAATACATTTTTACAAGAATTTACATAAAAATACTACAAACAAAACTAAATCATATCACAACAGATTACTTTGAGTCTGAGCCGAGGGGAATGTACGCTGGTAAAATTCCTAGTTTAGGGCGTTTCGTCTCTGGCTCCATACTTTCAGGTACCGAGCTTGGAGTAGAACTCATCTGTCCAACAGTATTGCATTGAGCATTCTGCCATGCTCTCTTCATGTCATCAACTTTCTTCAATAATTTCAGCCTCTTTACATTCAGATCACTCCCGTCTACTTCATTTGTCACTTGTGAGTCCTCAGGTTCTACAGGGAACACTTCTGAAACCATTCCTACCGTCTCATAATATCTTTTCCGGTCATCATTTGATGCAATGTGTACTACGTCCTTTGCTGTGCTATGTTTCCGAGTTCTTGACTTCTTTTTGACTACAGTCTTGTGAGGGTATGGACAGTACTTACCTTTTGGACAGCAACCTGTTTTCTCAAACTCTGGACAAAGGTATGTGTGTCGCTTCCTGCACTGCTTATATTAAACAGAAAACATCATAATCAAATAAAAACTGTCAATATTGAAAAATCAACATATCATCACTGAAAATATCCAAACTGTTGTTTAAATTCAGATTCTACAATGGGTCACTGATTTCCTCTGAGAAAAAATTAGCGACTTAAACAAAATTCCTATAATGGCATTGCCTCTACACCCAATGCAATGATTATGTTACCATGACTGTCTTCTTGAATTAAGCAGTTTTACAGTTCCTTCAAGACACATAGTACTAGTTACTCCACTCTGACTTGGCCACTGAAAATTAGGTCTGCGTCAAGGCTTTATGGCGCACATCCTAATTCTTGGATCATCCTGAGACCTCTTGTTTTCAGAGATGATCATGATGTATACAAACAAATTAGAAATGCGATTACAGTGAGAAGTTCTCACAGTGGCGAGTGCGGAGATGATCATCTTCTTTGCTGTTGAGCCATGTATTCTGGCAGAAGTTTCCCAACATTTCAGAGGTGTTTCCTGTCTTCATCAGAGCAACGATGGGGGCAGCAAGGACCTCTAAAACAATGTTAAACTTCTACCAGACTATACTGTGCAACAACCCAGAAGACGGTCATCTTCAACAGATCAGAAGATTCATGATCGTGGTTTAACACATACAATTCACCTACCATGGCACCTGGAAGTTACAGTTTTCAATAATATTGTACCTATCTGCATGTGGTCTCAACTTGCAAAGTCAAATCATTACTGACTTCTCTCTAAACCTGATGTTTAAAATACTTCATACGGCCAAATACAAAAGCTACAATTATGACTGCCCTTCCAAGTATTAGGCCCGGCTGGCCGGATGTGTGCATTATAAAACACCAGCTTATTATGAGGCTTATAAGACAAAGCAAGAAGTACTGAAAATATCAACTGTTTTCCCTACTCACAGGTCACTTGAAAGCTTCTTCATTTAAAGCGAGTGAATAATGACAGTCATTGTGGGCATAACCATTACATTGGTACCTGAGGTATCACTGACACATGAAGAATGTCCATGGGTTCTGAAAGTGACAACCCTGCTACTGGACTTACAAATTACTAGCTAAAAAACTAACAAATGTAACTCTCATATTACAGCAGAGCATAGATTATCCAGGGTCCAATTATCCGTGCCCACAGACTGTCTCTAATATGTGATATATTGTTGTTAACTATTTTTAAAACAAAAAATTATGAAAATTCATAAAATTAGTTTAAGAAAGAATGTTTGGTACTTTCAAATATCTCAGTTCTAAAATTTTGTGACGATGGTGCGTTGTTGAAGTAAAGAGTTTTCTTGATATTTTCCATCGTCTAATAAATAAAATCATAAAATCACACGATGTTTCAGAGATGGGACTCTATCTCCATCTTCAGGTAGACCTACTCATACAAACTGAACCCAATACTATCTACAGAAATACAAGGAGTCGGCACACAAGGCTCTGCTAGCCAATCCTATCAGCCAGCCTAATCTTGATATATCTAGCATTTGGATTCCTATCATCTCGGAAGAGATCAAAGTGTTGCAGCATTATTCAACTTAATGTTTTATGAAGTTTCTTCCACCTTTGTGAGTCGTTGGCATTTCGATTGTCAAACTACTTGCTCTTCAATAATTTTCCGATTTTGTTAAAGTTTTCTTATTGTCATTATTTGGTTTCTTAGTTTGCTGGACTTTGGTCAGTATTTTACTTTTGTCATATGCGCTAACCTCTACATATGTTTTATAAATTTTTTTTGGAGAATGTTTCTCTTTTACGTCCCATGGATATATGCTGTCTTGATCAGTTTATATGCTATGTCCAAAGACAGGGATTAGCTCTATCGATTAGGTCAAACTAAGTAGGTCTACCTGAAGATGGAAATAGAGTCCCATCTCTGAAACGTCGTGTGATTTTATTATCAGACGATGGAAAATATCCAGAAAACTCTTTACTTCAACTTTCATATGTGTTATGCATACGAAAATGTATAAGCTCATATTTTTCTTACACGGATGATGATAATTATAATAAAACATTATTTTTCATGAACTGTGTTTTTTTATTATCTGGGCTCCCGCTTCCCCCAATTACCATGGGATAATTGGAGCTATATTGTATTTGAAAGGTACAATTATAGGAAAACTCAATCATTCCATTATGATAAATGCAAACTTGTGACTTGCAAATGCAACATAGCAATAAACATGCTATTCAGATATGAAATTGTCTTACTCACCTTCTGCCCATCAAAGCAATAACCATGAAGAAAGTCCTTGCAAATACCAGCCTTTTCATTCACTTTCACATGAAGGTACGGGCAACCATCTCTAACGCAGCATCCTTCCAGAAAGTACTTGCATGTTGGCATTTTCTCAGGTCCAACATCATGAGACAGCGTACAGCCATTGACTGCGCAACAGCCTTGTAAAAATCTGTGCAAGATTAAGAAACACTTCCACATGTACATAAATCCTATAACTGTACATGTAAAATACTGAGACTTCAAAGATATTAGGTTCGTAATCTCGTAACACCAATGTACCATATGAACACTTACAAAAATTTAAACCATCTTTTGGATTCATGGCATGTTTTGATACCACTATTATGCACATGGATAAAACAAAAGAAAAACTAAAGAAATACTATTTTATTCTACAAACCTGTGTTTTTATGGGTTAGTTTCTCCTGCAATTCTATTATATTGTCCATGGAACTACCTTGTTGATCTATGTAACAATTTCTCACTCCTCTTTAAATATAACATAGTATGGTCACTGGCAACTTTTTACCATCAAGAGATAATGCTATTATATATTTATAAGATGTAGGAAAGATAAAAATTATCTGTCAAAACTGGCAATCCCAGCAAACAAAATTCACAAAACCCCCATATTATGTTAACAATAAATTATTTTATTAGCTTTTTTTATAACGAAGCACAAACTGAATAGGAAATTAAACACTTCACTAAATGAAACCTCCATAAGTTAAGACAATTTATTACTTGTTTTACAGAAGCGGAGAGCTCTTCGGTAGAAGGATCGACAAAATACTACACACTAATTTTAAGTCATCACTTAGTTCCTGAAAATTGAAGCAGAAAAACATGTCTTAGGACTGGGCAAATGCAGTTGTTCCAGCAAGCATTCTGATTTTTGACTACTTTATTTTCATACTGTTTCCTTCCCTGGATTTCCCACACTGAAACAGAACGTTTTTAAATCTAAACAAATGCGCACATTTAAGCCAGTACCAGACACACGCAATTCATACTGTTCAAAATGCTTAATGAAAGTATAGAAATTCCATGAGAAACATCATACCCAAGTGTAGGTAAATGATCCTTATTGCCTAGCGTTAGATACATACCATATAAGAGTAGGAGGGCATTCAAAATCTTCAAAATTATGGTATTGTTCCTCACCAATCCAGAAAACAATCACTGACAAGTGTCTCTACAGAGAACTTACTTCTTGCAGACGACCACATGCTTCGGGTCATGCACGTGTGGACACGTGCCCATCTCTTTCCTCATACATTTTCCAAATCGATGATAGAATATGCAAGGTTGATTGCTTTTCCTCAACTTTTTTGTCAGCAGGGCTATGCTCTTCTGTTTTGCTTGGCTGAAACACAGAGAAAGGCTTCGAAATTTGGTTTACTTTCAGAGGCACTTCCACTTCTCTGCAGCTGGTGTTCTGACCCACCGTTCTTCTGCCAGCATCTTGAATGTAGCTGGATTTCTATACATACCAGAAAAAACTCCATTATTGCTTTTCTTGAGATAAAATGTCTGTAGAAATTAGAGATGGGAAATATGAATGGGTGGATCATATTTTTAATGTGTTAAAAACTGTTTTAACTGCAGTCACACGACCATCTTAACTAAAAAGAAACAATACTATAATAAAAATTATAACCAAGAAGATTCTACTAGTGAACATACAATGTTGTGAACAAATTAAATAATGTTAAATAATATCAAATAAATGTGAAATCAAGAGAGAGACAAATGTGTTAAACCAAGTAGTGATGAATATTAATAATAATACAATTTGTGGCGTAACAGCCCTCTGAGAGCCAAAGCCGACTAGCTGGCTGCTGGCCTCACGTTCACATGCCTAAGCAGAGTTGAACGATCATCCAACCAGATATAGGGTGACGTGTGGTCAGCACGACGAACCCCCAGCCATTGCTAGCTTTCCTGACCAGATTACGCTACCCATTGTAGCTCCCCAATTTCCTCACAATGCTGGGTTGGCACCGGTCCCGTACATCGGTCGAAAATCTCATGAAAAATTTCTTTCCCTGAGACTCGAACCAGCGCGCATTCCGTATCACCGGTCCGAAGCATGATGCCTCAGACCGCACGGCTACGGCGCGGGACGATGCATAGTAAACAGTTCAAAATTACCTAAAGATGCCATTAGATGCAGTCATGTGTCTAAACCGAGCACTGCCACGTTGAATTGTTTACAATTTTCAACTTCTTATAGCAATTATCATCACTGGGTAAATATGAATTATTCTTCTTACATGTTAACCTGGCAACAGTGGAAAACTGTGTGGTTGCAGACTTTAAATTTCCATCAAACTTTGTAATACAGACTGAAGCAGCTGAAGAAAAGCAGGTACAAATTTAAAATACAGACCTCACGCTACACTACAGAACAATTGACTTTGAATGCTACGTTGTCTAAATAAGAAACTGTTCAAAGTTCATCACATCCTTACGTACATCCCCTGTTGGAAATTAGGAATATTTCTTGTATTAGATGAAGCTCTAAATTACTTTTTGACGTAAATACGTCTATACTGAAGGGTCATTCGGCAAAAAAGTGACAGGAAAATGTGTAAGATGGTTACCTAGGAAATATCAACCAACTAACTAGATGGCTTACCGAACCCGAAGGTTCATCACCGAATTAACCAAAGAGAAACAGGAAATATCAACAATTTTTAAATACTAGGGCAGAACGCTCCTTTTGGAGCTCCTCGGAGGGGCTGGTCAAGTTTTTAAAAAGCAACCAACCCCTTCGGAGGGGGGGGGGGGGTGGGTTTTAAAATCTTGTGTAAGAAACTAAACTAAACCCCCCGAATGTAGGATTAAAACACTTGACCAACCCCTCCTTCGGGGGGGTTGGTTGCATTTTAAAATCTTGAGTAAGACACTAAATTCGGCATTGTTGTGTTCCACAACAATGCCGAGTTTGTTTATAGTTGACATTGTTGATGACGTAATTTATTGACGATGAAATCACAAAAAAAAAATTAAATATGGATCGACAACAATGGTCAGCTCGTGTGCATTGTTATGTTACCTAGGAAACGTCATCTGTTTACTCGGCATTGTTGTGTAACATTACTGCAGTCAACAATCCACTTTCGTTATTGCACATCCTGTTTCTTAGAACCTATGGGATGCATTCATACCTAACAATGTTAGGTTATTCCAAAATATCCTGTTCTATTCCTCAAAAAGTAACAATAATCATACACCATATTCTAAGAAATTCTGGCAATGGATTTGAGTTATTCTGCACATATTTGCTTCCAAACATGATCCTGACTTCTGCTAACAGCAGAATTCAAAAGAACCAGCTTAACATTTAACTTGACAGTTCTTACAGCAATCCAACCACGAACAAACCGAATTCGGATCTGATAGCACCAATTCAAACATACCAACACAGAGTCAAACCCACCTCAGGAGGCTTCTTGCATTGTGGGTATTAGTTCTGACAAGAACATTTGTTGATTTCTGGACAAATGTTACTCCACCAATGTCTATTCTCTTCAAAGGTAAATTTCTCAAGGGCAATTCATTAAATCCAGGTTTTTTTGATCTCTGAGGAACTCGTAACATAGTCTTCCCCGTCGCATCCATTAAGAATTTGTTCCCACGTACATACACTGCAAAACTAGATCTTGACTTGGGCTCTGAAAAATGGAAATGAAACCAACATCACCTTCCAAAGTTTGAGACGAAGGTGGGGGGAAAAAACAAACAAACAAACAAACAAAACAGGTGCATACTTATATTCAAAGTCATTCTTAGGACACTAAATTATGGTAAGTCAAATGTGCTGCCTAAGCTGTGGTGGTGGTTGTTGTTTTTACACATATTTAGTAATTTTATATGACTTCAAGTTTTCACAGTGACCAAATGCAATAAAATCTTCTTGGGCAACCAGCGTCAATTTGGAACAGGACTCCAATGTTTCAAAGACCTACGTCTCCATAATCACAGAATGATGCGGTAATGTGGCAGCAGAAAGTCTGTAAATAGTGTAGTCATATAAATTATGTATACAAACCTTCTCAATCAGATTTACAACCATAAGATAAGACATGTATGCACTACGAACACAGTAATACGGAAAACCTAAAAATAGAAATCAGCGCAAGACATACAGAAGCTTAAGGTAGTATATTTGCGTCATATTGTGAATTAAGTTAATATTTTAATATTTTCCGTCAAATCGAAGCTTGTAAATGGATTAAGAAAACATTTCTTGAATATGAAATATTTTACCACTACTGTGTGTGTGTGTGTGGGGGGGGGGACACATCAGATTCTAAACTCAAGAAAAAAATTCTATGAACTATCCATGATTAAGCTCAGTGACAATCTGATTCGAAAATATTCAAGTTCAAAATGTTTACTGCGTTACGTTATGCCACATCTCATAATATGCTTATATAAAACTTAATTTTTATGAAATCATCAACACATTTCAGAAAGAAACTTCAATCCTGTTCTTTCCAAATACCCTTGTTCTTTTCTCTTTACAGCATTTTAACTCCTATATGGAGCATAGATGCCTCCTTTTGGAGGTTTCTTAATCTATTTAGATATTTGGTAGGAATCCTTGGATAAGTGGTCAGCACATCACAGGGCTTACCAAATACTACCACCCATACATATTCAATGACAGTCAGCAATTACTATAATCTATTAGCATAATAAATGTTCCTTACTGAGGATTTTTTTAATTTTTGCCCATGTTACTTCTATTTCTCTCTCAATTTTTAAAAGGAGTTCCCTTATAAAGGGCAACATAAGTTATTCCAGGCTTAAGTATAAAAACTGTCTTTGGGAACTGCCAACAGAAATCTCCATATATGACCAAAAAAAAGTTTTATTTACTCCAAACTTCACTTTAGTATGAAATATAAATCTCTTAACAAATTACTAAAAAAAATACTTACTTTTCACATCATAATCTGCCACATTTCTTCCACCTTCATTTTTGCATTTTGGGGTAAGACTCCGAGTGAGCTTCAATTTAGAGGTTCTGTACAGAACTCCACCAATTCTGACTAAGTTTGAGCTTTGTCGGTTAAACCGGTGGTCTCTACCTTTCCCAAGGTTTGGACTGCTTCCACTAAACAAAGTCACATTCTGATGTACGTCACACAAGATAATTTTCAGTTTCAGTAAGTTGAGTACATGTGGAGTAGCAAGACAATCCTACATAAATTACAGTAACTAAAATTTAAAAAGTAAACCTAGAAGCATAATAAGAAGACAAAAAAAATATTCAAGCACTGGAGAACACCTGTACTTACATTCGCCTTAGTTTCTTGTCTACAACCATGACCTTCCTTGGACGCAGAGAATTATTCCATGTTTTATTGCCAAACTTCAAGCTTGTGAAGGGATACTGAACCTTCTCATACTTATTGAATAATTTTGGACTCGTAATGTGTTGGTTAGGTCCACCAGACTTTGGCATTTCATATTGCAGGGAGTACTTTTTCACTTTTTTAAGTCTCTTCACTGTTTTGTTAAGTCGTCTGTCTATTTTGTACCTCGACTCTTGGCGTGGTGTGATTTTATTAGCCGTGTAACTGTATCGAGATTTTGTCACTGGAGTTTTGGTTATGTTTGATCTGGTTAACTTGTATTTCGAACATACTGCCTTTGCTGCTTTAACAGCTACCGTTCTATTTCTAGAACATGACAACAAAGACAGTCTTCCTACAGCTTTCGGTGTTGTATGAAAGGTATATGGGGAAATAACTGACGGACTATTATTTGATAAACCCTGAAAACTCTCACAGGATCTCCTTGACTTCGCACGCACTAACTTTGTCCTGCTGACAGACATCAAAGGCCCTGACAGAGAACTCTTAATTAGAGGAGACAATTTCTTTTCTGGCACAAAGTGTGACATAGTTACTGGATTTGCCACCGTGCTACTTATGACTGCATTCTGCTTCACTAATTTGGTTTTGCTACGAAATACATATTTCTTAGTGACAAAGTTACTGTTTGATGGCTGTGACAGCAGCTCACAAGTTGGCAGTCCTGTCTCATGCTTGTTATTTGCTGTACACCTGTTCACAAGCGCATGAGTTTGTGTTGGTTCTGATTGTGCGGCCAATTTCATGACTTGTGCCGCAAGAACCTTTGGATTTATATGTACAGAATGTTTCAGTTTAGAAACGTCACTTTCTGAAGCAACGTATTTTGCTGATATATCTGTTTGCAAACAGTTATTTGCTTTGAAAAAATGAGGATTCAAATACATTCGGCTGCTTCTTGAATCAGGAACATTCTGGCAAGAAGCATGTGATGTGGCATAAGTCAGAGGCTGACTTTCATGAAGGTTTGAAACTGTTGGACTCGGTGACACAGATTTCTTCTTACTGGCACATTTCATTGTTTGACTCTGGGTTGGATTATTATCTGCACATAACTTCCATTTGTCCACTAATGGAACTTGAGGTTTTGTGCTCACATTTATTTTCTTGTATTTTGAAACAGATGCATTTGTTGTACCATAAGATCTGAGGTTAGACCAACCAACTTTTGGTGATGTCTGTGAATTGAATGATCGGTTGCCTTTCCTTCTATGAAAAAGCTTATGCTGTTGGATTAAACCTGGAAAAGAAGAAGATATCTCAAGGGCACGTATCAGACTGCAGAAACATTCCACATTCTTCAATTATGTGAGTGAAGGAACATAAGCTGCTGGTTGTAAACCCATACTGGGTGTAATGTATTGAATATTCCTTTAGCAACTTAAGTTACTGTCAATTTGTGGGCCAAGAAATTCAGTTGTTTTTAATTCTTCAATTGCTTTATCCTCATGCCCAATACCTACATTAACACAATTATTGTTGGTAGTACGAAGTTTCATGTTTTATAAAAGAGAAGTCTACTAGTGTCAAACATTGACCTGGAATTCAGAAAGATTTTTCTGAAGTTATATGTTTGGAGCACAGCGCTATACGGAAGAGAAACATGGTCAGTGGGAAAGCCAGAAAGAAGGAGGGTAGAAGCATTTGAAATGTTGAAAATTAAGTGGACTGATAAAGTACGAAATGAGCTGGTCTTGGACAGTATAGGCGAAGGAAGAAGTCTATGGAAAAATCTTACGAGAAGAAGAGTTAGGATGGTGGGACACATTCCGAGGCACCCAGGATTGGTTAATTTGGTAATGGAAGGAACAGTTGAAGGGAAGAATTGTAGGGGGAGACAAAAATTGGAATATGTGACACAGATTTTTGAGGATGTGGGCTGCAAAAAAAATATGTGGAAATGAAGAGATTGGCGCAAGATAGATGGAAATGGAGGACCACATCAAACCAGTCGAAAGACTGATGACAAACAAACAAAAAATATCCCAATTTGAATAGGTGCTATTAATTGAATCTGGTGATTTTATTTCTACTTGTTGCCTTATATCATGAAAGTACTTTGTTGTGTATTCTGTTGTCTTGGCTGTAGTGTAATTTTTCATTCTTTCGATAACTGTTAAGAAGTATTTAAATGACTTGGTAAGAGTTTACAATTTATTTTTTGCATTATCATTTATCTTTATTAATAGGGTCAAGCATATGAAGCTAAATATCACTCTGCACGTGACTGAAATAACATTAATTCCCTTCAGTAAGCAGAAATCATAAATAACAAATTATTACTATAACACTGGAAATGTCTGTGGAAGTACTGCAGTTTTACTCACGAGTCAGGTATGTACATTCCTGTTGTAAATTGCATGTATTTCTCTCCATCAGCTGCTTATTGTAATCCATAGTCAATGTACGTTTCCCTCTGGTTTTATAAAACAACATACAAAATTACTTAACCTGCATACATGTTCTACTCAGTATTTTCATACCAGCTGCCATAATGTTTTAAACAAAGACCACTTAACCTGCATACATGTTCTACTCAATATATACCTGCATTATGAAAATATTATAATCGATCAAATGGACATTATAAAGTTTATATTATACTGATAGATTAGCTCTAACGAGTAATTTCACAATCAGGACTACAATATCGCAATTTTTTTTATTACACACCTTCCATTACCCTTAAATGTCGTACAATTCTAGCACCATCTTCCAAGTTACTTGGGCCCTTGTTAGATAATTACCTCTCTGAATTCAAAATATTGTCATGAACTTATGCCCCTCGTCATACCTTGAACACTGATGGAAGATACTAAGGTATGTGGATAATGTTCAAAAGTCCAATACTTTAATCAGAACCATTGTTCTACATGACGAATGAATCCCAAAGTACTCTTCATCATTATTAAACAATACCATAAATGATAATAGGCGCACTCAGTTTTACATGTTTCGTCATACACAATTGTTAACATGATGTGGGTAGTGGTTCAGGGTATAAACACGAGACTTAATTACGAAACATTCTGAAGTATCCATTACAACTGCTGTACTATAAGCATGTTATTTTCATAAAGCAAATAATTTAATGAGTTTGAAAGCATAGCCTAATAAAGCAAGTGGAATCCAAACTAGTTATCTACAATAACGAAAGAGTTTTAAATTAGAACGTGACGAACTATAAGAAAACGCATTGATATATTACAACACTAAGTTACCTCTATTACGAAAATAAGTATTATGTCACGACTTGTAAAGTGAACATCACAATTCACGTATGTATGAAGGCACAGATTAAAAATAGTGCATTCAAACGTCTCAACCCTGCCACAACTGCATTAAGAACCTTAATATTTCACACAGAGTACAACTGGTTGATCACTTGACAGCCATACACAGGTAATCAACGATGGTAGAAATGTTTAAAGCAGTGCACACATAATATTTTAATACAGAAGAAGAAGAAGAAGAAGAAGAAATGGTATATAGTCTTTGCTGGTTGTTGTGTGAAGAAAACTATTAGAATAGAATGAAATTCTATATATATTACTGTCTCTTCTAAGCGCAAGAACCCAATTTTAGTACAATTTAAATATTACTTAGTATCTCTTATTTGTTATATTTATAGTAATGTATGTAACTATAACTTTGAATGAAGACGGAAGTTAGATGTGTATAGTAGTACTTCCTTTCCAAGCATAGTCTTAATTTCCTGTTACACATGGTAAGCATGCGGTGGGTTTGTAGATTTATATTAATTTTATTGTTTGTTTAATTTCGTTTTCATTTGAATTTATGAAAGTGTGCATGAATATAAGATTGTAAAGTTATACGGATATAATTTGGTAATGGAGAATTTATTCTATTTTTTCCATTTGTGGTTGCTCACGTGTCCGTAAGTGTGGAAGTCGTGTGGTGACTGTTGGTATATTTATAATTTTACATATGTCTTAATAGTTCATTCTAGTAATAACGTTTAATTAATTTTACTCTTTTTGTAGCCTTTCAAGAGGTTTGTCGAAACAGGCCGTGTGGCCTATGTGGCTGATGGCCCATACAGGGGAAAATTGTGTGCCATTGTGGATGTCATCGACCAGACCCGAGTACGTATAATGATCTTGGCTGACCATCAGAAGACGTTACAATTTGATTCTGTCACTTGAGCATGTGTTATTCCACAAGTTCATCTATCGGGCGTTTTGTGTCCAGGTTATAATGGCAGGCAGTGGAATAATACGTAGAAAGTAGTAGTTGTTCTTGATGTAGTGGGAGATAGGGTTCAGAAAAACTATTTAAATTAATGAAACGGTAAATAAGTTGTGTTATACTTACTTAGATTAGACTAGTTAAAGATAGCATAGTGTATGTGGGTTGGTGGCCCCTACACGCATTTTGGACCAACAGTATCAAATACATATTATTGTGTTCTGAAGATTGTTAGTTTAAGATGTAAGTTTGTGCTCATTCTTACTCTTACAATCTGCAGCAGATAGGAATTATTCTTACTTGAAATTTCATCTTTATACAGGCTTTGGTGGATGGACCAGAAACTGGAGTGCCTCGGGGACAAGTGAGGCTCAGTCAGCTTCATCTCACAAAATATAAAATTAACTTCCCATTCACAGATCACACAAAAGCAGTGAGGAAATCATGGATTAAGGACAAGATTGATGAGAAATGGGCTGCAGGAATGTGGGCTCAGAAAATTGCAGCCAAGCGTAAGGTGTGTGGAGGTGATTTGTTCATGATAATTTTTTGTGAGAAAGTAAAAGTAAATTTCATACATTTATAATTTTCTATGAGAGAAAGTAAAAGTAAATTTCATACATTCTTACTGCACTTTTAAAATGCAAGGCTCCATAGTTAATTGATTGGGTTACTACTAAATTTATGTCTACAATTTTTGTACATACATAAAGCCAGAGATTTTGAAATAAACGCCGTTTGTTTTCTGTTCCACTACGATACAAATTAGCTGGTACCCAAACAAGCAGCCATTCTCGTGTGTGAAAGAATACTAATTATAAAGGTTATGGAAAGTTGACCCAAGGAGAAAGTACAAAAATTACTAAGATCACAGATGATGATGATGGTAAGATAGGAATTGCCGACTGATCGATACATGAAGCTAAAATCATACTGATGTGTTACTTTTTAACATTGCAATTTTCAGACACATAATTTATACTTTGGTTTCTGACTATGCTTTTCTCTTTGCACAGCGTCGTTCAATGACGGATTTTGACCGGTTTAAGCTGAGGAAGGCAAGGCAGATAAGGAACAAGGTCCGTACGCTTACCTATTACAGACTCAGAAAGAGGGCTTTGAGGGACAGAGCAAAGAAATCTACGGAGAAAAAGAAAGAAGAACCAAAAGAAAAGAAAGAAGCAAAGGGGAAAGGGGAATCTAAAGAAAAGAAAGAAGTGAAAGAGAAGAAAGAACCAAAACAAAAGAAAGATGTTCCCAAGAAGTAAACAATGACACTTGTTAATTATAATGTAATACAGATTCTGAAAGGTAATAAAATTTAAATAATTAAGTATCATCTTTTGTATGAACCTCATGCCCTTTTGATCACAGCTAGCTCCTATTTTAAAAGAAGGTATGTCTCTAGGGATTCAGTACTCTAGCCATTATGTTGGGAGTTCGGTATATTACTGAAATAGGTAATGGAGGAGCATTTCTACGCAGAAGCAAGTTTAATGAGAATAACAATGGCAAATTTATATTTGGGAAGACCTGACATCATAAAGCTGATAGGCCATATAGCCAGAAAATGATTCAGTTGACAGGATTATTATGAGTACTGATTTCATTAAAGATATTATTTTGCTTTACCAGCTGTCAGAAAAGTAATATAAGGTCAGTCTATCTGAACCTGTTCTACTTTATGTCCATTTCTGGCCATCTGTGACCTGTAACTACAGCTGGTGCATGACACCCAGCAGTTTGGTGTAATAAACTATTACTTGGAGGTGGCAAACTGTGGGCCACATGAATCCAATCCTTTTCCTGCATACTCTCTTGCAGCCTGTGTTCTACACACGGCAAATAATGAGAAACTCCCATATTATGTGCAGAGTTGCCGTTCCCCATTCAGAGCTCACAATTCAATGGAAGACATTTCTGGTAACAAAACTGACTGAAAATTCTCATTCAGACGTATGTATCTATAAGAATTTCTGGACTTCCTATAAGAAAATACAGTAGATTCCGGTTAATTGGGCCATCGGTTAATCGGGGTAGCCGTTTATTTGGGACAAATCTTAAAGAATAAAACTTTTCAACTCTTTACGTGGAACTTCACATAATTGGGGCAGTTGCGTAATTCGGCCAAAGTTTTCTAGTCCAGATGTGTCGCAATTAACCGGAATCCACTGTATCAGCAAAATTATTGAGAGCGTAACTTTCAGCAACTACATATTTATTATATAATTGCAAGAAATATAAAATGTCTTTAGATTAAAGTGTTGTTAAATATTTTTACAAATATCGTAAAATAAATTGGTAAAATTGAAAATTCATCGGTGTCTAAAATGTGTCTTTTTCTTGTTAGCCTGTGAAGACCCAAAGAATGCCCAGTCATCATCATCATCATTATCTTCCATTTCATCTTTGTCATGTGTTTCATTAAGCCACTCACAGAGACCTTTTGTATCAGCATCATATGGAACTAAATTCTCCTTTCTGATCACAGGACGATGGTAAACTGCCTGAACCTAAAAACAGAACATTTTTTAAAAAAACAGACTGTCACTATCAAATTTACTGACCTTGCAATTTTTATCTTAACTGCCCAACATGGACCATCTCTTTTTCAAAATATTTTAACAAACAGATAAAATAATGTTGCAAATAAAGCAAGCTTAGTAATAAGATTAATATTTTGAGGCATAACAGGAACGATATACATCACAAATAATCTCTTATACGAATGTAAAATTCATTTTCACTCGAGGGGTCTGGTTATCAGGTTATGATAAAATTACCATTACATCTGCTGTGAAGGAAAAGACAATGAAAACTTTATAGTGAGTTAGTTTTAAGTTTTAGTTACATTTTTAATGAATTAATAGTAATGAATAATCTATGCAGTGAAATCAGCTATAAAATCATAACAAACAACCTGAGATTAATATTTAAAGTTAATGATATATGTTCTCATATGGCAGATTGTCTTTGAATTAATAACAACAAAATAATGAAGCTAGCTTAATGAACACATGAAACATCCCTACTGGGATACTTTGTGCATAATACCAACCTTTCTATTTCCTCTCTAACTATTTGCCACAAAGTCACTCAGATAACCAAGAAATCTTCTGTCCCCTTTTAAGAAACAGAAATGTTCACTAATATATTCAAAAGAGCCAACCATAGGACCACATCTTCAGTTTTTTCTCGTGTCCAGTACATACCATTCAGCATGGTGTGCACTGGTGGTTAGCAAGATTCATGACCCATCAGTACATGGGTTCGATCGGGACTGCAACATTTAATGCTCCTGCTGTGACCCCCTTTTTGCGAGATGATGATGAAAATGGAGTAATTGTTGGGATGCCATGGAGAAACCGGGGAAGCCCCCGGAGGAAAACTCCGTGTTGCCTAGACCACGGCCTTGCCCAACACAAGTTGTAAATCTGAGCACTGCCGGGAATCGAACCTGGGACCCCAGTATTACAAGCCCAGCGTTCTAACCGCTAGACCACCGTGGCGGTATCTTCAGCCAAATTAATCTAATCAACATTCACACCCTATTTATTTATGATCTGCTTAAGAATCTCGAGTGGTCTCTTCCCTTCAGGGTCTCTGACAGAAATTCTGTATTATACATGTGTTGTACATGTCCCAGTGATTTCATCCTGTTTGATTTGATCACCAGAATAATATTTAGTAAAAATTCAAATTAATACACGTCTAATTATGAAATGAATTGGATGAAAACATGGGTTGGTTCTTTATTTTAAACACAGTTAATTCAATGCAGATTTTATCATAAGTTGTTTTACCACTGATAGGTACTTGTTTAATACTTGGAATTTTTAACAATGTTTGATGATATGTACATTGTAATGATAGTTTTCCTAATTGTAGTAATGTAAATATCATAACCCTGAATACGGCTTCACATAGCAGAAATGTGCAGTGTAACAAACAAATATCTAATTTCCTCTGATACGAATTATAACATGTTTCATTAGATGGTTTTAATTAATTTATAGTTATGGGATGGTTCCTTTTTCTATAGAAGCACACGCAATAAACATGTCTTTGTACTCTTTTTTCTTCTTTCTAACATAATAAACAGCTTGCAGTCTCTTTCAGCCACTTCATTTGTCATATTTGCCAACCCTCTCACGCATTTTCAAAATGGACAAACAAAACTGCATGCAAAATTTTGACTGAAAAAGACTGAGGAAGAGAGAATTTGGGAGCCCATGAAATAAATGGGATAGTAATATCACCAGTATCTTAGTAAAAGAGACTGTGAGTCAACTGGTGTGACTTTTGTGGAGATGGTGATAAACTTTCAGGTTTCAGAGAAAACCTTGAACTAGAGATTCTTTTTTAACGTCTCAGTTTCAAAATCAGTTACTGAACATTTTGTGGAACTGTAACTGGTTCAGACAGAAATAACGATACGTATTCATCTTTTACTGCACGCCAAGGGAACAAAGCTGAATAGTTTATCCCCATATACTTTTGAACATAAAAGAGGATAACAGACCTTTCTAAACTTCTTGAAATTACTGCTAACATGACTGCACCCAGTGGCAGGAGCTCTGATAGGTGGAGTATTTCGAAAAATCAAAGCTTTCATTTCAACCACAGTCACATTTTTCAGACCTTCAGCAATGTCCATCATGGGCACGTCCATTGTATTCACCTGGAAGAAACAATTACCGAGTCTAGATTGTGGTCCTTTGGGTTGCTACAACATGCAATCTTCAGGATGTAAAAACATATTATGGAGGAATATGCTGTCCCCATCTTTAGGGTTGAAGTGAAGGAAGGATCAAATTTGATGGGTTATGTAGGGTTAGAACACAAGAAAATTTACCAATTAGAGTCAAGTGAGGAGGAGGAGGAGAAGAGGTAGAGCCGAGACCAGGCCAATAGGAGCAAGAACATAAAACAGCCCTTTTCATGGCCACTGGAGAAGAAGGCTGCATACTTTGTAACAGACAGCTCATCTCTCCCATGTATCTTATCCTCCTTGATTACATTACTAATTTTAAAGTGTAAATCACATTATATCTTATCCTCCTTGATTACCTTACTAATTTTAAAGTGTAAATCACATTAATTATGTTAAAATTACTAGCTTCAGTAGCATGAGAAAGACACTCACCTTTGGCTCTTGAACTGCATCAAGGAAGCCAGAAAGAGAAACATTGGGTTCTTTGGTTTCATCCTTATCGGATTCTGTGCACGAGATTTGAGAAACATCCTTCTCTGGGGCATGTTTCTTGCTGACAGAACTCAGTTCAGATATAGTTTCACTGGCCTTTAACTTTCTTTTCTTTGTAAGCAGAGATAATTTTGCAGTTTCATCTTCATGAACATTCATTTGAAGTGGTTTGTGTTTTACATCATCAACAAAGGCAAAAATATCTTCATCTTCTTCATTTGTAATCCTGGCCTTCTTATCTGATGGAAACTCAAACAAATCTTCATCACTTTCTTTGACAACATGTTCCAATTTTATTCTTGCTTTGGTCTGTTGAGGGGCAGCAACTCTCTTCATGAGAAACCCATCATCTTCCAAACTTCTGAGCCTAAAACAATAAACCAAGCCACATAATGAGATTCTAAACCTGAAATCATGCATTGTGTAAAATTAATTCCATTTTATTTTTTATTATAAATATATTCTTGCCTTCTCACACAAAAGTTGTTACTCCCATAACAAAACCTGAATTGAATATTCAATACATTTTAAACTCTATAACACTAAAGGTATCATTCCACATCTTGGCCACTCTTCAATAGTAACAATCACCAGTTGTTCTGTAAAGCATTTATTGATAATTATCAGATGCAGAGCTTGTTTATCATTTTAAGACACAAAAGGATTTCATGTAAATAGTGCACGTAAAGGAAGTCATTATGGCATATTTCAAGATACTCCTTGCATCAGACTGGAAGAACTGAGACAAAAAATCAGGAGAGCCAATTTCCAGATAGTGGCATACTCTAAATGTTTCAAATTCATATGGCATTGTTAAATAATACCAAAAACAAACAATTATATTAACAGATATATGGAATGAAAACTCAGAACTTGTGATTGCACTAACAACTAAACTGCTATTATCTTTCTTCTTGCTTGTCTCTACAACCCAGTTGTTGGTCTTTGCCACCTTCTTTCAGAGGTTTCCCTAGTCTCTGAAGCGTACATTTGTGAGTAGTGAGTGACCAGCCCACTGTCTCTGCAAAATTTCTACTCAATCCTAATTTGACTGCTAGAGCCATCTAGTAGTGAATCAGGAGAGACCTGGGTGAGAAATCACTGAATTTTGGTTCCGAAACATCTCGTTCCACGCTCAAAAGATTATTTTACGTGCCGTAAATCTATGACATGGGACTGTCAGCTTTACTTCCCCTCCGAAGGAAGTTATGCCCTTAAAAATTCATCGACTCCGACCGGGTTTGAACCTGCGAATTTTGGGTCCAGTGGCGAGCACGCTAACCGCTAGTCCACCGAGGATGACTAAACTACTATTATCAGAAAGCATTAATCTCACCTTTTCTGTGGGCGGAGAGAAGCACCCTCTTCATCTCT